AAAATCCATAGCATAGTCTCTTCTATTCTCTTCCATTCTCATGGCAGTGCACACGCCTTGTCTGCAGATGTAATCATTTGGACAGGCTTTCAATTCTGACCCTTTCGTTGACCAGAATGGATGAAGACCCAGCATCTGGAAGTCTGGATACTAGACTGTGTGTCTGAACATATCAAAGGGAGTAAAAGGGCAGAGCATGAATCTTCAAAACTGTAGCTTTCCAGAAGCTCCTCTAGTCTCCTTGGCACTGATATAAAGGAAGGGCAATATGAGGCAGCGATAAACCAGCATCATATACTCAATGCTTTTAACTTCAAATGAGCCTGATGCTTGGGGTAAAACACAACAGCACACTTCTAGCAACCTGGTGGTTGGTATTGATTGCACTGGAAATGAGGAACAGGGACAGTAAGATGAAAATAATATTAAGTTCAACGGTACTGACAGTCAATGAGCAAAGAACAACAAGATTCACACTGACATTTACATGTGTTTGTCCTGTTTCAGCTGCTATATTATCAGTCCAGCATGCCACAGTGTGCTGCAGTCAGGATTAAAATGGTGCTTTTTTTTCACCTAACACAGCAGAGTCCTTCACCATCCCAGCTATTTACGAAAATATATCACATATAATTTTAGGTCTTAGAACAAACTCTCTTTTGGTTTAAAAAAAAACAAAAACAAAACCAAAAGGTACATGGAAGCATCCTTAACAGACTTTTCCCCCACAAGTTTGCTTAATTTTCCTTTTAAATAATTTGATTTTTTTTTGCCGCTTACTAATTGGAGAAATGTTCTATACTATAATTTTTGTAAGATATAACCTAAAGAAAACAGATCACGATACTGTGACTAAGACACTAACCTGGTGTGTAGCACACTGCTCTTTAGAGGAATAAAAACTGATCATTTGTTTCCAACAGGAATTTCAATCTGAATATTTGTTGTCTGTTTACACAAAGCCAATGCCAGCATTTTCCTATGGGATTTATCTTATGCTAAGCAAAGGAAGAGGGGACTAAATCCAGTCACAAAGAATCTGTAAAACATAATGCAGAGGTTATGCTCCAAGAACAACATTATCATTTACTACCCATGTGGGACATGAATTCTCCCTTCACTCACCGCCGATAGTGTTTGTCAGGAGCACAAACTCAGACACAAGAATAGCTTTGGAAAAAATAGAACTGAAGACATAAAAATAATCTTAATTATAGCGATGGAGTTTCAGTGAGCAGAAGCATCTGCCTTTGGGCAGACAGCACACATGGAGCCTACGCGTGGGTGCGGTGCCTCACATCAGAAGGGACCAGTGTCTCAACCAGCCATTTGCTGAGACCATGGGAGCGCTCAGACAAGCTCCTTAAACACCCCAAACAGGTCTTTGGAAGAAACCCCAATGTGTTCCCTAAAGTCTGCTGGATTATAGTGTTAAGCAGGGGGTCATTTTGCTCAGTCTTACCTGAAAAAATACTTAATCCATACATGTGATAATGTCATCACCTTTTATTGAAACGAAAACTATCAGTATCCTAATTTATGAATAACTTACAAACCATCTCTGGGCAAAAAAAATAAATGGATTGCATGCTATTAATACTCTCATAGCTTCTCTGTTTGCAGGAGACAAATTTGGTGATGATGCTGCTGAATGTTGGATATTGGGTATCCAGTGAGGTATTTAATTAGGCTGTCATTGTGAATAGGAAGAAAGGGGATGGAGAACCTGCCCCAGAAACACGCAGGGGTCTCAGCACCCAAATTGCTGGTGGGACAGTGAAATCTCTGTCAGAGACTGGGCAGATGGCCCAAAGCACAGCCTTTTCTGCTGCCATGGTGGGTGGCTGTACCCAGCATGGGTACTTCAGGGTGTGGTGCCAAGGAAGCCCACAGGACTAGTGGCTGCCTGGCTGGAAAGCCTGCTCCTTGGAAAAACCAGGGCTGCGTAACAATGAAATCAAACTGCAACAGTGGGGAAAACCCTTGCAGCACTCATGGGATGGGCTGGGCATGCCTTGAAAGCCTCCAGATGTGAAAAGGCCCCAGGTCTCTGTGCAGAGAGGGAAGCAGGTAGTGTCTGTGCTCCTTTCAAAGGAAGCACTTGGGGTGGCATGGGCACACTCCCCCTTTCTGTGGAGCTGTGGTGTCAGGGAACTGTCAGAGTGGGCTGGTGCTGGAAACATAGCTGCTGTTTTAAGGAAACCAATGGAACTTGGCTGAAAATAACTATTTCAAGTTCAAGCACCTAAATTATCTACATATTTTGGAAATTTTATTTGAGAGGATCCTAATCTGTTTAAGATATTCAAGTCCTTTTCTTCCCTTCAGAAGAATACTCTGTTTCTGTAATAACAACTCAAACACTTTGATTATCATGCATTCTCCGGCTGCAATTTACCACAGCTATGGGATTACCATGCATTTGCTTACACATTTCTTAAAAACCAGGCCTAAAAATTTCCACTTTAGCATGCCATCAGAAAGGAGACCAGTGTTTCCCTTCTAAAAGTCCCAATGTGCATCCAGTCTTCAACATCCAGTGTCACTTCCTGATGGTAGTAAGAAGATGAGGAATATATTTAGTCAAACCTCATCACTTTCCTTTCTGTAGTCCTGTTCTACATGGTCTCTGTTGATTGTTATTATTATTAACCTATATTTGCCTCCAGAGGCCCCATTTAGCTCTGTGCTGGAAATTGCTTACTGTAGTTATTGCTGTTTCAAACAGTTGTGGCACAACTCCTTTTATGAGCCCATTTAAAGCTGTTTAAATCAAGAGAGTGATGACTTTACTGTAGTGACCTATTTCATACAAAGCTGATTTGTATATTTAATGTATAACTCTCCAGGGTTCAGAGAGGGAGCAGCATAACTTCCCTCCAGCAAGCCAGCTTTCCTGCAAGCAGGATTTGCTTACGATGGGTATGTGATAGAGGCACTAAATACATTTAATACCTTCTTTTTTCTGTCAGAAGAGCATTTGCTTGGACAATAAGCCAAGATGCTAAAGACATCTTAATGAACAATTAACTTGCTCACATTCAGCACATACATTACAAATCCACAAGGTTTGTTTGGGAATTGAAGCAAGGAAGTTTCTATCACCTACTGGTCACACGTTCCTGCTGTTCTTAAGGAGATCAGTGTTTGAAAAAGATAATAAAGAGCCCAACACATGAAGGGAAGAATATTCTTGAAAAACCTTTTTATCACACACACAAAAATAGTTGTTTCAGTACTTGTAGCGAGTAAGGTAAATATATCTAGCATAATTCCATTTCAAATAGGATTTTATGTATAAACTTAAACTAAAATAATATTAATGGAAAAATATTCCATGCTGATGTTTGACTTTTTCAAAATGGATTTTAATCAGTAGAATGGGAATACATGCTGTGTTTTACACGTGTTGGGGATTAGGATTTTTACTCTTGTTTCTTTCTCTCATGGAATTTTGTCCCATCTGTTGCTAAGAAACAATAGCTATTGTTTTTAAGAGAACAGAAGAGGAGGGGGAAGGTGCAGCTGGTTACTTTCTTACCTGGGGGCTTTTCTCTTAGGAAAGCAAAGATACTGGGAAATTTTGGCTGGGTGGTGATGGGCTGGGTCTCGCTTTCAGCATTGGAGGAGGCACAGGCAGTCTGTGGGCGCTGCCCCGAGGATTCGCTGCCACGATGAAGCTTTTGTCATCCCATTGCTCCTGCTGCCGCGGTGAGCCTTTGCTCATTAGAGCAGCTGTCGAACTGGGACCCACTCTGACTGCAAGGGACCCTCACCATCTATTCCTGTGTCTCAGGGCAAAATCCCAGGACCCCAACCCGTTCCCCCTTCCCAGAGGAGGCGTTTCCCTGGCTGCGTGCGACAGCTGCCGAGGAGGAGCCCGGCTGCTGCTGCCAAGCCCTGCTGCTCTCTCGCGCTTTTTCACCACACTCAAACCCACACCCGCTGCCTGCCGGGGCACTCCGTGGCTCCTGCTGCGGGTGTGGAGTTTCTGACACATTTCCTTTGCTACTCTGGGCTCTGCTCGTCCCGCTCCGAGGTTCCGGCTGCAGCCGTTTCCATCTCCCCACGCAGCCCGGCCGCTGCCGCATGAGGGAGGCGAGCCCGCGCCGCAGCGCCCCCTGCAGGCGCGGAGGACTCAGCACACCCGCCCTGCCCGGCCGGCAGCCAGCAGCGCCCCTGCTGGCCGTGACCGGAACTGCAGGGGAGGGGAAGCACCGCGGCCGAGAGGTTTTACTGGGTTTCTCTGGCTTGGTTTGGTTTGGTTTGGTTTGGTTTGGTTTGGTTTGGTTTGGTTTGCTTTGCTTTGCTTTGCTTTGCTTTGCTTTGGTGTTGCTGCCGTAGTTGTTTATTCGCCTTGTTATGTCAATAAGCATACTAGTAAAGAGCTGTTATTCCTTTTCCCATATCTTTGCCTAAGAGCCTCTTAATTTCAAAGTTATAATCATTCCGAGGGAAGGGGTCATATTTTTTCCATTCTGTTCCATTCCAAGGGAGCGTCCCACTTTCCTTGGCAGATGCCTCTCTTTCAAACCAAGACAATGTGTAAAAGTTGACCCAAATCCTTCCATGTATTGCCAAAGTACTTTTGTATTTTTCAGCCTGAATTCCAGGTGATCTTTCTCTTAGTTTGATCTGTTTCAGTAGCTCTGGGAACACAACTATTTTATAATATGCAACTGTAAGACGACAGACTGGAGTTTTATGTTGGAGACTTGGCAAATCAAGATTTACTTTTGTATAATTTCAATTTTTGACTTTTCCATCCACTAATCAGTTGTGAAAATTCCCTTGGGATCTGAAATCTGAATCTTTTTAAGCTCATATCTGACAGCATGGAATAAAAATATTTCAATTGCAGCTTACTGTCATTTACACTTGATGAAACCAACATGAAATGAGTGTAAAATTGATTGTGAAACAGTGTTCAGACAACAGTAGGTAGAGACCAACAGTTTTGTTTCAAACAGGAAGAAAGTATTGACTGGGTTTTGCAAAAATAGTGGTTCAGTGTTTTTATTACTAACTTGGATGATGAAATACAGGACACAATTTTAGGTCTGAAAATTATTCCAGGCAGTCAGGGTAGCAAAGATGCTGAAAGACAAGGATTCAAACCAGCATGCATATGGGAAAGAGATCTGAAAAAACCAGAAACAACTCAATAACAATCCATGAAAGATGGTACATTGCAATAATCACCTGCATAACTGGAGGCACTATAGTTTAGGTAACAGTTTTGAAAAAAATAATTTGGCATTGATATTATATGAAAAACTGAAGATGAATCAACAGTGTTTTAAAATAGCAAGCACCAGTCCAGAAACAGGAACAGGATAGGTAGGTAAGATAAGGAAAATAATTATGCTGCTCCATGCTCTATTAACAATATATTTTCTCTGTCTCTGTATATAATTTTGAGCACTTGTACTTGAAAAGTGACCAAGTGATGAAGCACAATCTGGAGAATGGTAGAGCAATGGAAAAAATGTCACATAAGGAAGGGGACATGTTTAGCCTGAGATAGCAAAGACTGAGATGTGATACTGTAAAAATATACCTTCCTTTCAAAAAGGAAGGGAATATTCTGTTCTCTGTATTCAGCAGGGCTCAAATGCAAACAATGTGCCTCAGCTGTAGCAAGGGAGATATAAATTTAGTGTCTGGGAAAACGTTTAAAATTAAGATGCTCTACAATGAGTTTGCAGTAGGTTGCCTGGGAAAACTGAAATCTCTAATGCTGGAAATTCATTAGAAGCATGAGAAAGTTCTCCATTTTCTTATCATCATGGGCTGTGGTTTGTGGATTCTAATTCCTGCTATTGCACAGACCTATTACATGGTGCCAGACAAGGACCAAATCTTTTGAAAATTGGGAAAACAAAATTACAGAAACTACATTTCTGTAGTTTCAGTTGTTCATGCACAGGGCCTTAAAGCCTTAGGCATTCAAAGAAGGTAAAAAAGCAAAAGGTAGGGATAGCATCATGAATAAAGAAGTTAAAATCCTGGCAGATTAAAGGGATTTCTTTTTTAGAGATGCTAAAATATCACAACACTTGCTGTTTACCTTTTGCATCTATGCTGCAATCTGAGGAGGTGTAAGCTCTGTTTGACACCTTCTCAGCTGATGGGGCATTCAGAACTCTCTGTGCCTCACTTGCTTTTCCTCCTGACTTGCTTTGTGTGGTATATATACCATGTATATTTGGCCAACAGAAGAATTGTATGAACTAAGAAAAAAGACAAATGGAAAGGAAAAAAAGAGGGTGAAGGGTGCTGCAGGTGTGGACTGAGGGCAAAAAGCTGAGGGAAAGAATAAGCTTACACAAGCAGTCAGCACAGAGCAAAATCTACCTTTGCAAAACTGTAGGAATTTTCATGGAAAATGTGTTGTTAGGGTTTTTTCAGCTGATGAAATGAATGACTACCAGACAATTCTTAGACATAATAATCTGTCTACTTTCAATTTTAAATTGGTCTTCTTTAGAAGTAGATTATTATTTTGTTGACCAAAAAATGGTTCCTGGTCAATAACTTATTGCAGAACACAGCACTGCATGAGTAGAATAGCATTTGCACAATTGGTGGTAAAAGTGAAGCAAAAGGCTAGTCACATTTCTTTGGATTATTTTATAAAATGAAATTAATTCTTGTGCAAAATTCCAGATAAAGAATCCAGAAGCAAAGTCTCCATTGATTTTAGCAGAGCAGAATCCATTCTTGAGCAAGAATCCAGCCAAATCCGAGGCATAGAGCCAAAGTGCCATGGGTTGTTTGCCAAAAGAGTAATACCCCTGCCTAGAAACCTAGGACAGACAGACTGACCTTTTCAGTCTCTGCCCTCTCAAATAAGACTGCCAACAATAATGATACCTAGGGATCAAAATACCCATCTGCTATGTATGAGGCTGAGAAAAGCAGCAGTCTGGATGCTATTTACAAAGAAATTTGTTTAACTTAGAGCTAAGTATTTACCCAAATGTAACAGTGCAGAGGAAGGTCTGTCACTTGCTCTTGGTAGGGGTGTTGTTCATTACCTCATGCAAGAAGGGCACTGTCAGTACTCTGTGAACAGAGTGCTGGAGAAGCCTCACCCAGCAGATTACAGATGGGCAGGAACTAGCTAGGCCTGCTTTGGAAAAGGGTGACAGGATGGCATCCAGAGGCATCTTCCATAGAGAATTATTCTGTGCATCTCTGAAATGGTGGTTTTGGGCATACTCACTGTCTAGTTCTGGCCCTGGGCCAGACAGTGCAGACAGCAGGACACCCAGAGGTTAATGGCCAGCAATTGCTGCTACTGCAGCACTGAGGACTTTTCTGCACACTACTCAGGGTCTGCCTGACCATTGCAGAAATGAGAACAATGCTAACAAACTTAGAACAGCACCCAGTGCTCAGACCATCAGCTCATTGCCTCATTTAACAGATGAACAAATACAGCTTTAAAGTCCTTTTATTTGAGCTGTGACCACTCACTAGCAATACCAAACCTCTTTGGTGAGCTGGAGAAATTTGATGTAAACATGAGTTAGGATAAAGAGGAAGATTTCTGCAGCTCCAAGCAATACATGTAAAGGTTATGTAAGGTCATTTTCATTTTTCTTCACGTGCATATTTTCTTCTAAAGATATGAAAAAAGCAACAGTAAGTTTTCTCAGATAAGACAAACAGAAAACACTGACAGTGTTCCATGACTTTAAAAGGGGAAATAGATTTGAAAAGCATTTAGAAAGATAACATTTGTGAAAATTAAGCCATCTTGCTCCTCTGAGAGCTTCTGCTTGTACCTAATAGGAAATCCATTTGAGTCCAGAAATTGCACCCTTGCTTGGAAAGAGTTGATTCTGCCTTTCATCAAACTTCCCCTTTATAGAAAGCTAGGCAGCCTGTGGAAAATAATATTTCATTTAAAACATGTCTCATTTTTGTGCCTCTCAAAACCTTTGCAAATTTATATTTATTCTATTATCACAAATAATTTCAAATAATGAAGCCTGAAGGCCTATATTAGAGTGAAACTGTAAAAAAAACAAAATATAACATAGTGTATTTATTCCATAAGGTTGTTCTTATACTTACTTATGCTCTTAAAAGTCTGCAGTGATGAGGTTTTTGTGTGGTTTGACATAAAACAGCCCTGTAAACACAGGCTATATCAAAAAGCTTCTGACTACTTTGATATGAAGTGTCTTTCTTTGCATTCACAGTTTCTCTTAAATCTAATAAAAGATAAGAGTATGTTGGTCCACCTTGAGGAGAAATGGCTTTCATTTTCCTAGTGAAATGTGACCTTTTAAGTCATAAGCAGAGTATTGGGTAGATATTGTTGCCAATAGATGTTGGGAAAATAAAGAGTAGGGAAGGGATTATATTCTTATTTCCTGGATTAAGCAAAAAAGTACTGTGAACATTCTCAAACAGACACATTGTACTTCTGTATTTGGCAGTATTTTCTGCCCAGGGGAAAGAAAACATTTGGTGATTCTCCATGTACAGCTTGTATGTGACATTATATAAAATAACTTTATTACTTCTTGAAGAATCTAAGAAAGTGCTGTGTTATCCCAGCATTAGTAGCCTAAATTAAAACAACAGAAGATTCCAACTGTATTGCTTGGAAATGCTGACCCTTCTCTAAATTAAAGCTCACTGAGCTTCTGTTCCCAGCGTGGGGACATCAGAGGGTCACACAAGCAGTTCCACTTCCACAGCTATTGGAGAGAAGTCGTCCAAACAACTTAATACCCTTCACTTCCAGATAAATGTTATTAAAATATAATGTTAATCAAAAAGCTCTCTTCCCAACCTAACCTCTTTGTCTTGATCAATTCAGTCGGAGAAATGGAGCTGCTTTATTTTTTATGCCTAGCCCAACCTTCTCTTTGTTTTTCAATTTGTAAATGTGTCAAATACAATTAAAACTGACAGAGGCCAAGATTAAATAAAACAAAATGTAAACATTGTTTGTGTTATTTTGTTGATATAAAGCTTTCACTATGAAACGCTTTTAGATAAATTAATTCAGCTATTAGAGTGCTGCAGCACTGAAACTTTGCTCCAACTCTTTGAACTTTTCAGGGCACTGTCAGGTCATCTTAGATTCAAAACCTAATACATGGCTGGGGTTCTGAAATTGCCTAAGGGAATCAGGTACCTGACTTCCACTGAAAGCTGGTGTGTGGTGGGAAGTTAATTGACTTCCAGCAGGAATTAAATGCCTTTGAAGAGTCTGTTCATGTCCTTGCAAAAAGCAGCCCATGTCCTTCATGGATAGAAATGAATGTAACTTCATTCACACCTACCTACCAGCAAATGCCAGATGCACACATTTTACTAAACTAGCAAGAAAACGCTAAGAGCTACCTCTACTTTTATTTGACTGTATTTTGGTTAGCACTAGATATTCCTTTAAATATAAAATAATGATACTGTTCAATAATGCTATTATTAAGTTGTGGCATAACTATAAGGTTAAATTTCAGCAGACAACTCCATTAAGGACTTTCAGTTTCAGACTGGCAGGCTGCAACCTGCAGTTTAACCCACTTATTTTAGTGGCACTCCTGACCTTTTAAAGTGCATATTCAGAATCTCAATGCATCCAAAGTTTTCCCCCAAGCACTTTTGCCTTAAAAACCTCATCCCTATATCTCAATAGCCACCATGATAATTCATGGCAGGAAACAGAGAAACAGTACTTTTGAAAACAGCTTTCTGTCTTGTTGACTGAGATTTTAGTGCTGAGCAATACTGCATTAAAGTCTACACAGCTTTGAAAATAGACCCCTATCTCCTTTAATTCCTCATTGCTACTTTAAAAAGTAATGCAAGAAATGTGATGTTATATTTTTATTGTCATTTACTTTTCACACAGGATGGGCATTTGTCACTCCTGTGTTAAATTTTGCTCCTTTTTTTGTATGTGTACATTTGTATATCCACTTGTTTTGCAAATCTAATATCTTGATATTCAACTATAATATTAGAGCTCATTATAATCAGAGCTTTTGGGGATTGTTCTCTTCAATGCCTTTAGTAAAACAACTGTAGTTGTACCATGGGACTGTAGTCAGAAATTTCTCTCTCTGATATTAAAAATCTTTTTTATCCACAGATATTCTCTAAGAATTCTACACTCTCCTTGGCAAAGTTAGCTCATTTAATGTTGAGTGTGGCTGCCGTAAGGGGAGCTCAATGACAAAGTCAGAGGTCTCTTAGGGACAGGATGATGTCATGGTACAAGATGGCACAGGGACAGAATATGCAGGTCCTTCATCTCTGGCAATTAGTGCAACTATTCCCTCATTATCTTCAGTGCACAAGAAATCCACCCACAAAACCAGTGCAGAGATCTTGCACCTGGCAGGTGTGGGTCATGAGGAAGGCAGTGCTTGAGTGAGCAGAAGGTCAGGACTGATCAATGAAAACAGATTTAGTGTACACCAAAGATCCCTCACAGCCTTGCCAGACTTGGATAAAGATGAGAAACCAGCACTGGTTACCAGAAAGAATGGAACAGAGTAACACAAGTGTCTCATGTCTTGAAACCATCTGAAGACCCTCTTACTGGTTGCTGAAACAATGGGTTAAGTCCTATACTATTTCTGCTAGTTGGCAGAGGAATTAATCTGTAACAATGAGATCTTAGGAATACAGGCATTGAACAGAGGTGTTTCTGAATGAATTTGGAAAGAAGGCTACAGAGCAGTACATCTCTGTTTTTATAGCCAAGTATTTGTATTCAGGGCGATTAAGACACAGAAGGCCTTGGGATAAAAAAAAAAAAGTGTAACAGTGCAATGGATCTTGGATATTATAGATCATCTGAAATAGCTCGGTGGTAATTTATGCTAATATTGCCAAAAAACCAAATAAAACTGTTTTTCTCACAGGAGTTAGGTTTGGAAGCTGATCCAGGTTTTACATGGATGCAAATGTGAAGGGATAGTGTTAAGACTATTCCATCGCTGCACAGATGAGTTGACAGATATCAGAATCTGAATTGATGACTTCAGCTTGAAGCTTTCCTTGTAATAGGAACAGCAGGATTTAACTTTAAATCGGGATTTTTACCCCTAATAACGTAAAAAAAGCTTGCAATTCTTTTACTTGTTAAGTACATTTCTTGAATATCTTGGGTTAGCTTATTGTATGAAAGGATTCCAAGCTTTTGTTTTCAAATTCAAATATTGATAAAATGAGTATAAAAATGTTATTCTACAATATTAGAAATGTAAGTGAAAGAATTTAGGCCAGAATGAAGAAAAATAATTAATTCCTAATACAAATTAAACTGAAGAGGCTATCTGCATTGTCCCATATGAGAGAACTACATCATGCTGTTTTAAATTTCCTAATATTGCAGTAGTATGAAAGGCTTTCCAGCTGTGCGAAAACACTTAGTCCTGATGCATATACTATTCTTTCCGGGGGATGGGGTCCTTTGTGACCAGTTCTGCTTATTTACACTCTCATATATTGTTTAGCTTTAGTATGTTGCATGTTTAAAGGAGAATCAGGAATTTAGCCCAGTCTTCCTTAAATTATTGCTATATTTTATGTTAATTTAATTCCTCATTTCTCTAGCTACCTAATACAAAGGATGATTTCACTGTCATTAAAGATCACTTCTTTCCCTGTTTTCATGATCCTCTCACTGTTATTATTCTTCTCATTGAAATTTCCTTTCTAGTCATAATGAGCACTCAGAGCATCTCATTGACAAAAACAAGGAATGAAAACATTTTCTATTTCCCTAATCAAGACCCTCTCATTATTATCACTGAAAGTCAGAGAAACAGAGGAAGAATGACAGAGTTACATGAAAAAGGACACTGCCAAAGTGATTCTTTTATCACAGTCATTTATAATAACACTCTGGATGCTGGCATGGCAATCTAATTGCATACTAAAGCCTGTTGTGTAAACTCAGTTAGTAGTTGTATTACACAATGCTGGTACTTTAGTCACAATTGAGGCAAATATAAACAGAAATTTGGAAAGTCTTTGCTATTGTGGAATAATTCATACCACTCATCAGTATGTCCATTTTTGATTTAATCTGACATTTTTGAAACAGAAAGACACAGTGATTCAATTCTAGAAGAAAAAGTATCCTTGGAAAAGAATCATGTTTTGCAAATGAAGAAAAGAAAACAAAAGTAGGATAAGTTTTTATTCTATCACTTTTGACAGTATCCTATTATAGGAAAGACTAAATAAATTCTAAAGGCAAAATTCTCTCCCCATTCACATTACAATAGCTCCAGAATATATCTACCAACTTTCATACTATTTCCCATTAAATTCAATCTGAAATATCACAAAGGCTGATTCATCTTTTGGTCTCAGATAAGTCACTTCCAGGAAACAGGCATGATCAGAGTAAGATAGAAAGCTCCAAACAATCTCTGAATTAAGAATGTGCTCAGTAGACATACTTGGTTTCTCCCATTCCACAGATTTCTTATCCTGAAATCTGTATGTCACATAATGGAGAAGAACAGGACATGGAAGTTTTATCTGAAGGCTAAATTAAAATCCTCCTGCAGTAACCTGCTTGAGGAGCATAATGATGGGGAAGAAGGAAGGCTGGGACTGGTACAATGCAAAAACATTAAGTGACAGCCCCCAAAAAAGTCAAGAGGTCTTCCATCAGGAGGTATGCTCTTCATATCATCCCACCCTGTGGTGGTACTCTCTCCCTAGCTATTTCACTTGATTCACATTGTTTCAATACCTGTTGAAATGGTTCACACTGTTTCACTGTTATTACTGTTATTATTTTACCTATCCACACTTGTCTCTGCCAGTCTGTTATTCATAATTGCCAGGGCTCCAACCCCACCAGAGAATCCATTTTGCTTTGAGTTAGAGCTCATTTGCCTTGGATACCCATTAGCAGTTTCTGACAGCTGTTTCTGCATGATGGCCAGTGAGACTTTATTGGAGGCCAGGAAGTCTTTCATGGAGATCATCTCTCCTGACAGACGGCGTCCGTCTGTGTCACTCTCATTGACACCGTCTGTCTCGATGGAGATGTTCCTCCGGCTGCGCACATTTCCTGGCATCACCACATTCCTCCGCGAACGAAATAATCTCCTTTGGCACCTGTGGCAGCACTTGCAGGCCAGTTTCTTTAATATCCAGTTTATGGACTGCTTGATGACAATAGAGATCACATTAAATAAGGAATAGATGCAGCACACCCCCATGAGTATGAAGACAAAGTTGCCAAAGCGGTAAAGGCCTTGGCTCTCATACCTGATGTTCTGGCTACTGACCAGATCACCAAAACCAATGGTGCTGAAGGCCACAAAGCAGAAGTAAAGTGAGTCAAAGTAACTCCACCCTTCAATTGGTGTGTACATTGCAGAGGCACAGCAGGAAATGATGAGGGATGCTACACATAAAATCAGCATTACATAGTACACAGAGGGCTTCCAGCCCGCCAGGCTGTCCACCTCAGAGGTCCCCGAGCCCCGCCGGCCGTTGTGAGGGAGAACCCCTTTCCTCCTCAGCTGTCTTTCATGGCAGGACTTCATGACATAAGCTATGACAGTGATCAAGCGCTCCAGGAACAGGTTAAAGAACAAAATGGTCCCTGCACATCCTATAAGGCCGTAAAATATCAGAAAAATTTTGCCTCCAACGGTGGCCGGGGTGGTCATACCAAACCCTGGAAGACAAAAAAGAATAGTTGAAAAAAATAAACTGGTAGGTACCATGTTAGGACTTTAATCATGTGCAAGACAGATAAACTGATAGCAAATCCTTGTGGTAGAGCTCAGCTTTGAGAAAAAATACCTTCTCCCCAGATGTCACCCACTTGTGCTTGACTATGTCTGAGCTGTAAGGGGAAGGAACACATGCCAGCATTTTCTCCAGAATCAGAATGAAACAAAAAGCAGAACTAAACACATGGACAGGAAAAGAGAGTTTAGATGAGGCCTGAATTTTGGTCTGATTGCTAGATTCACTCTTTCTCTCTTTGTGCTTTGGATTGCTTCCAGGCTTTGGGGTTATTGCAGCTGCTTTCTTCTGTCTGATGGTGCTTTTCTGCACCATAGTTCTGTGCCAGGGGCGGCTCTTGCCTTCCAGAGATCCATCTGCACCAACTCTTTGGAATACAAGGTGAAATTTCTCTAAGACTCACTTGACTCCTGGTGGTTGTGCAGGTGTCACATCAACCAGCACTCAGCACTCACTGTAGCCTGGCTTTGGAAGCCCAGGCTGGGAGTACACATCAGATGACAGCCCGTGACAGGATCATCATGAGCATCCCAGTAGGAGTTAAAGACGCCCTGCATCTGACTTGGCTGTCTGTCATTCATTATCAACCCCTTTCCAAATCAGCATTGCTGAAGTTTTTCTATTTTTCTGTGTCCCACTCTATATCTCAATTCTGCATGTGGGTCTTATCAAAAGTCTCCTCTACTCTGATTCCCTGTCATGGGATTTTTCAGGCCAGAGATGCTTCAGTCTACTCTCAAATATTTCCCATCCTAAAGCCTGAAAATAGTCATTTTGTTTTGGTTAAGGCTGTTGATAAGACAATCTTGCTTTAAAAAGATATTACTAAAGAATAAAAAGATGTCCAGAACATCATTGAGCAAATTGGAGTAACACTCATGACAAATCTTTGCTGGTGTTTTATTAAGATTATTAAAGGACTACATAAGTGACCAACTAAGCAAAAACATTTTTGTTGACAGGACAGAAAAATCACAAGACTTTTTCTTTCTCTTTGTAAGTATGAAATTCCAAATATGAAATAAACACATTAAGCTTGTGAGAAACAAAGGAAAATATAATCAGTATATAGTATATATATACATACTTTATATATACACACTATATATATATAGTATATAGTATATAGTCACTTGTACTTCAAAGAGAAGAAAAGAGCAATGTGTAAAGACCATGTTTCCAACAGTGCCAAACTGCACCTCTCTTCCCTTCACTGGCAACCTGCTGCCAGCACAGATTCCTCTCTAACACTGGCCCTGCCTCACACTGTGAAGTGTCAGCCCTCACTCTCACCCCTCCAGCTCGAGCCCCACTAACATCAGCTGCAAGCGTGGGCTCTCCAGGGTCTGCACTGCACTTTTGCCTGCATCCACAATCAAACATCAAGTGGTCCTACAGCAGGCTCCAGCCCCCTCATTAAATTTCTGTGCTAGGGAGAGCTGGACTGCAGCTCTGTGGTGTGGAAAACAACATGACAAGTGACAAACCACAGACAAAATGTTCTTCACGACAAGAACTTTTTCTTGTTGTTGCCTTTGGCACATAAATATTTCGTCTTGCTTTCCATCCTCCCTTTCTGTTCCATGACTTGATCCCTCTATAATTGTAGTTTTAATGCTTATTTTCAGTGCAGGCTGGCTTATATGCAAGTCATGACCTCCACCCTGTGGACAGACACAAAAAAACCAATGGACTAGAGGAATCTCAGCAGCTGTTGAGATCTGCCCAAAAAAGCTTTGGGGAGGGAAGTGAGGAGCTGCCATGTCCCTGCCCCAGCCTGTTCCTTGGAAAGGAGAAGCAGATGTAGGCTGGGCAGAGATGGAAAGGTGGGGAGCCCCTGGCACAGGGTGAACTGCATTTAGGGACTGGCAAGTATCTCCTACAGCATAAAGCAAATGCCCTGGAATGAGAAATGCAGTTAAGGCTCACATTCCCAGAGCAGTTTTGTGCCTTTGGGCTGCTTCCTACATGTTCCTCTTGGGATCCTGACTCTGGCATCATGGCCAGAGCCTGAACTCCTCAGGTTGTTATTTTTACTGACTGGATGTTGTTGTTGGGTTTGTTCTGCGACCTACTAGCAAAGGCTTTACAAAGGCATTCAATAGGCATCCCAGGGAGTCATGGTGAACTATGAAAAAATGACTTAGTGAGCAATTAGAGCACTGATGTGACCCATAGAGCACAACAGCAAAAGATCAAGAAGTTACATTGCAGATTGGGAAGCAAATACAAAACAAAATTATAAAATCATGTAAAAGAGGAAATAAACACAGTGGCTGACACTTGGAGGCTATTTGAAAGTACAAAATTGCTTCTCATGATGAAGGAAAAAAAAGGACAAAACTGCAGGAAAAAAATGCTGGTAATTTTATGGTATGAGAGAATGCTGATTAAGTTTACTGAATTTTTATTTTACATGCTGGATGACATTTCTTGAAAGCACTGTTTCAAGTAACAATTGAGATTATAGTTAATCAAGTGGAAATCAGATCATTCTGGCTTGGGAAAATAAAATGTTTTTAAGGTACTAAAAAGTGTTTCAATGAATTTGTTAGATGTGTCTGCAGATATGGCATTAGATTACTACTGTTGATAGAAATGCATACAAATCCTGACTTTACCAGCCCAGCAATGAAGGCAGCATTCTTAGTAAAAATTTCAGGATCCTATTTTGAAATCAGTATAATACTGATTTGCCTCTGTCCCATGATCCATTGACTTCTATAAACTAGTGGCATCTTTCTTAATATTCAGCTGAACTGACCAAGTACATTCCTTATGTTTCGATTTTCCTCCAAATATTGTGGTTTGTTTTTTTCAGCTATTGTTTAAGCAATAATTCTGTGGTTTTTTTGGTGAATATTCATTTTAATTCTGAGTTTCTCTGTAGCAGATCTACTTTATTAGAAGCTGGAGGAAATTTAACTCCAAGTAGAGTCCTCAAAATCTTTCTAAACACTTCACACCTCCGATGGAAAACAAATATTTAGATTTTGTTTTGGCAGCAAAATTCCTATTATGAAGTCTGGTACTGCAAAGCACTCTAAAATTCACCTGTGTGTTCAGGTTATATTGTGTGGATATTCCAAAAGTATACACTCATATAAAAAAACAACTAAAATGGGAAATCACATCAACAGTATAATATAATCATGTTTCATTATTTCTTGGAGTAAGTACTGGCTATAAACAGAGAAAAGCAAGCAACTGTAATTCTTATCAACAGCCATTTTGATAAGAAGCACTGAGGTCCAACAGGAAGTTCCCTTAAAGCAGATTCTTCCAACAGCAAATAGTGAATAACATCAAGTATTAATCTCAATCTAACAGTAAAAACCTATTTTTAAATCAAACAAGAGGAAATAGGCATCAACTGCCTATTCCAGGCCAATATTAGGTAATTTCATCTTTTCTGTTGCAAACTCACTAGCTCCAGTGCTATCAGCTGCTGTAAGTGTACCTCGTGGGTCATTACCACACCCATCTCCCTCTGCCTGGTGATACATGGTTTGGCATTTTGTGTTTTGATTCTGGATGTCCTGACATTCATTCACAAGTTACATTAATTAAATTTCAATATGAGAAATAGTTCATCAGTCCTAATCCCTCATGAATGAATCTTGGGGCACCCCATATAGCATGTGTGTAGGGACACTGGGACAGACATAGAGATTTCACAGTTAATTTTAGATCATGCAATTGGGACTTTCTATTGTTCTGAAAAATATCCCTCTTTTCTGAGAGGTTTCATTTCCTTTCTGAATGTGTGCAGTTCACTGCTCCTCCCTTCCCACATAGAGGAAGTAGGTAGAAAGATGGGGCAACAGTGAGTCACTGTGATGTTAGAAATATAAATATCAACACAAAACAGGCTCCAGTTTAACCTACAATAAGAGTTGTTTGTGAAGATTTTTTCTGTATTCCTAATGTAGTTTACATTTATTTCTTTTCTCTGTCTGTTCAGTTTAGACACTCACTGGGGAAATTACGAATTTCCAGTGAAATAGACAATGGATAATAATTGAGGTTCATGATAGATGTGAACCAAACTACATAGGACAAAGACTTTCAAATGAAAAAAAAAAACAAAATCAAGAAAATAGTATTTAGTAAAGAGAAATACAGGAAGACTTAGATATCTGCAAAGATGCTGAGTCTCCTTTTCACAAACACATTCTGTACTGAACTATCTACAGGAGAATTTTTTGTGCTTCTAAAAGAGACAGAAGAAACAACTCTAACAGAAGCTGTACTTTCATTGAGAAAATGTCCTGTACTTCACACTGTTCCAACAGTGTGCAGACACCAATACTTTGGTAAAATTCTCTTCTGCATCCTCTGCGTGCTTTCTGAGCAGGATAAGTACTCCTAACTAAACAACTTCTTCTGGAGTAATTTTCTCCTGTAGAGACTCTTGTAGGAACACCTAAAGGACTCTCAAATCTTGTCACATTGCTGTCCTTATGACACAGCTGTGTCAGCAAGCTTGTAAAAGCTTCCTGTTCCAGGAAGGAAGGAGGACATGAAGTCCTTCTTTCCAGAAAGAGAAGAGAAAGACTCATTTCTGTGAAGACTTCCACTGTATGAGAGGACACATCGATGGAACCAGGCATGGTGCTGTCACACTTACCTGATGACAAATCAGGTCCAGTGTCTGATATGAAAAAATGTCTTTAGTGTTGTTGAGTTTGCTAAGTCTGTGCAGAAAAGTGCACATACACACACACACAGACACTTCTGATTTCCCATCAGCGGAAGATCAGCATCTGAACTGTGCAGCTGGCTGGTGAGACATACATCCATACATCCATACATCTTGTCTTAAACATTAATTCAATATGTTTATCTTGTCTCTTATGAGGAAGGGAGAATGAGCTAGCCATGAAAATTTCCTTTAATGCAACAATTATTTGACAAAAGAATATT